TGAAAACTTACACCTACACAAAAACCTGCACATAGATGTTTACAGCCGAGTTATAAATAGTTGCCAAAACTCGAAAGCAACCGAGATGTCCTTCAGTAGGTGAGTGGATAAATGAACTGTGGTACATCCAGGCAATGGAATATTATTCAGCACTCAAAAGAAATGAGCTATGAAGCCATGAAAAGACATGAAGAAAACTTAAATGCGTATTAATAAATGAAAGAAGCCGATCTGGAAAGGCTTCACACTGCGTGATTCAACTACATGGCAATGTGGGAAAGGTGAAACTACGGAGACTGGAAAAAGGTTTGTGGTTGCCAGAGGTTTGGGGAAGGAGGGAATGAATAGGCAGAGCACAGAGTAATTTTACAGCAGGGAAACTATGATACCATAAGGCTGGTTACAGGTCGTTCTACATCTTAAAACCTACAGGTCATGACAAGTTGGCAGCTGATTGTCAAGATAGACTTCAGAGATGTGACTGCATTTGCTGGCCTTGCACCTGGGAGGGTGGTAACCCACCAAAAGTAAAAAAACCAGCTAACCAGACAAACAAAAAATGCTGTATATTTTGTAAATTTTAAAATGCTCTGCAGTTGGAAGGTCTTATATAGCTGTAAGACCTGGAACTGTAAAACCCACTGCTCTTGCCATGAGATGAAATTTCCCAGAAGAGCAGTTGCTTGTCCCATAATTTGTTTTGAAGGGTTTTCTGAGTCTCTTAGGGTGAAAACAATATTTGATAGAGGTGAAATAGAGGAGGTGAACTGAATTATAACTTAATATGCATGATTTTAAGTTCACATTTTTTCTTTTTTTAAGATTTTATTTATTTGAGAGAGTGCACAAGCGGAGTGGGGGAGAGGGAGAAGTAGGCTCCCTGCTGAGCAAGGAGCCTGATGCGGGGCTCGATCCCAGGACCCTGAGATCATGACCTGAGCTGAAGGCAGACACTTAACCGACTGAGCCACCCAGGTACCCCTTAAATTCACATCTTGAAACATGACCCATATCCTTTTATTTAACCAAGTGACAAAAGCAGACTTAGCATTTTCTTACGCTACTATGTGTGTGTGTGTGTGTGTGTGTATGTGTGTATATATATATATATAAATATATATATATATATACACACTTTTTTTTTTTCAAATAGTGGATTTAGAACTTAAGGAGGAAGAGAGTGACAGCTAAAATAGCAAAATACACTCTGGTTTCCATTGTTAATATTCACTCCTTGTGTTTTTCCTCCTGGATTTCTTGATTAAGAGAAAAGCTATTTAGAATGTTGAAGAACCTTAGAAACTCAGTTCTACCAGTAACACAAGATGGTGGTTAAGGTGACATGCAGCACAGACAAGAATGGCTAATTATGTCAAATTATAGCTTTTAAAATGCCAGATGAGATCTCGTTTCAGTGTAAGTCCTGTTCAGGCCTCAGCTGGATTTCTAGTAGAAAACCCACTCTTTTGTATTAGGTTTGAACTCTTAACTGGGAAGGGAAGGAAATCGACCATGCTGCCAAAGGACATGGATTCATGTTAGCTGTACGGCAGAAGGCGTCCAGGCCCCATCCCCTATTGTAAACACTGGTCAACACCAAGAGATAAGTGCAGAATTATTAGGTAAGAAGGGTGCGTTTTGTTCCTGTACCCCAGGGATCTAGTTTTTCTCAAAAATCTGCCTACGGTGGGGTTGAGTGTTTTATAAATAGTTAATGTTTCAGTTAGTGTTGCCGTGAAATGAAATAACCCCAAAACTCAGTGCCTTAAAATCCCAACTATTTCTCAAAGTCTGTGGTACAACCGGGCCACTGCGATCTAGCCTGGGCCTGGCTGGAATGAACAGACCTCTGTCCTGTGCCTGCAGTTCCTTGGCTGGGAGCTGGCTAGCCTGTGATGGAGCCTTGGCTGGGCTGACTCGGTTTTGTTCGGTGCCATCCTGCAGCAGCTTAAGCTTTTTCTGATGCCAGCAGAAGGATTCCAAGAGAGGCGGTGAAAATGCATGAAGTCTCTTGAGGCCTGAATTGGCATACGATCTCTACTGCTTCTGTTGGCCAAAGCAAGTCACAGAGCCAGCCCGATTGAAGGCGTAGGGCAAAAGGACTCCACGTCTTTCTCGATGGGAAGAGCTTTTAAGGGATGTGCAGACAGGGAGGGGTAGAGAATCGGGGTAACTTCCACCCTCCCCAATTTTCCAAAAATGCTTTCCTTCTAAAATCAAACTGCACAATTATCAGGTAAGACCTTTGCCTGCCTGCCTTATTATTTTTTTATAGGCTGTTGGTTTTCCCAGCAAGAAGCATATCTATTCTCTTCACAATTTCTTCCACAATTTATATTTTTCACAAATAACTTCAAGTGCTCGCATTCTTTCTCAGAAATCTTTTTTTTAAACTATGATTATCAACATAAGCCCTCCACTTTCCATTGCCATCATTTTCATATTGCACAAATGCTCTCTAGAATATGATGAATCTTCGTTTGACATTCCTAAGCAGGCTTACATTAATTTTAGTTCCCCATTGAATTTCAAACAGGAGCCTCCACACTGACATTAAAAAATATTAACATTTGCCGTGGCAGGGCAATGTGCTGAGGCGTGGATTGTGGCTCTGACTTGCCACATCTTTCCCCTTATTCTTTTTTTAGAAAGAGCAAAGCAGAGGGATTTGGCAGGGCAATTCAAGCTGCCACTCACAGCAGCTCCAGAGACGGAAGGCTAGCCCAGACCGTATTGCGTCCTAACTGGCAGCAAATCCTTCAGTCAAGGTCTTCTGCAGAAAGGCAGCGTGAGCTAGGCCCCTGACCCTTCGTGATGTCTGTCCTGGGTGTTAGGGATAACTTCCCCTCCAGAAAACCACTGCTACTTTCAATTTTTCTGAATGTGTCTAAAAATGCTGCTTTTTAATCCGTTCTTTTGCCCCAAATAATAGTTCTTCCCTTTGTTGTTTTCAATAATGCAGTCAGTGAAAAGAAGCCAACCTTCTGATAGAGGTGTGGTGGGATAAGTTTGTTCATAACCAGCTGCTGCTTCTGCTGCTTTTTTAAATTGAAGCTTCCGTGCACTTTATGGACAAGGCAACGTGCAATAGGGAGAATTTCCTTCTGCAGCTCTTTCCACCCCTTCAGCCTTGCTTATTTTTATCATGTCCCATCACCATTATTACCCATTATATTTATATCTGCATTTAGCAGGCAGACTTGCTTCATGTCTATAAAGGTGTAATGAGCAATTTGGGTTAATGATTTTCTGCAGCTGCTCAAACAGTTGGTACTAACGTCATCGTTTACGCCTTCCAAAGACATCTGAATGAGGCATCAGATGTAGACCAAATTGGTTTTGCCTGTTGGAGGAAGTAGAAGCATGGATGGGGGTGGTGTGTGTGTGTGTGTGTGTGTGTAATAACTGTTCATGCATCTTTCATTCCCCAATTCAATGGATACTAGCAGTGGAGTCTCTCTCATAAGACAATCTTTGGCATTGGGAGAAAAAAAAAAATGATCCACGACAAACAAACACACTTGTGTTGCCATCTTGATTAAAGGATATTGCCTTAACAGAATTCAGAATTTTTACACAGTTGTGCAATTTATAGGTGAACTTTGAAAATACATAAAATCAATGACTTTTCATCCCTCTTTAGGGAGTAAAGAAGCTGGTGCAGAGAAAAGAACATTGGATTGGAACTAGAATAACTAGGTTCAGTGTTTCTATTTGGCAGAATTTCAGCTGTGACCTTGAGCGATCCGTTTCACTTTTCTGGAACTCATTTCCCTTCTCTGTGAAACTGGGGATACTGAATTCCTCACAGAATGGTCTCGGGCAAAAGGGAGAGCAAGCACATGAATGTAGTATATGGCCTATAGCACAGATACTGGGTGTTACTAGGGTACACTTTTAGAGGGCTTTTTGTTCAATTAATGTGCCCAAATATATATCAGGGAGTTTCTCCCCCTACACAGAAGGGTGTTTGACCTCTCTTGGCTTTCTCGGCACATTACCTATCTGAAGGTCTCTCCTGCCAATGTCAGTTCACACTTCCAGTCTTCCGCTTTCTCAATTCCTGGCTCTTCTCAGTAGTACGGAAATGGTGTAATGGAGTGACTATTTTACATTGTGTTATTTTCATGCTTTAGGAATTCAGAACTTGACAGGAAAGTAATTTAAATTTGGCAGCCTGTGGGCTCATGTAGGGACAAAATTTTGAAAGAGAAACTTGTTTTGAATTTCCTCCCAGCCCTGTCTGCCTCTCTCAAATACACCTGTGACAAGTGTGGATTCCTTAATACTCGTTCTATATCAGCTCCCCTCCCTTTTATGATATTCCGTCTTCCTTGCACCATAACTTGATCTGTGTTCTCCCCAGTGGTGGAAACCATGCTCCATCTCTAACTGACATCTGTAGCCCAGAGCCAGGCATATATTGAGCTTGTTAAATGAATAGACGTGACCATGAGGAGATAGCCAATCTGGTCAGATAATTGGAGCTAAAGGGTTAATTGGCGTAAATGATTTCATGGATTGTGTCTCCCAGACTTCAAATTTGCCTTCTGGCTGGCACCTTACAAAGTCATAATCTGTGGAAGTGGCAGGTGGTGAGAGAGCTTTATAATCCTGGGGCAGGCCTTGAGGGCAGGGAAGGTGGGCAGATGTTTCTGGACATGTAACCTTGATATGATGTTCTCACAGTTTTGTTAGGGCTGGAGGCATACTCTTTTTTGGTTGAGATGGAAAATTTTGCCCCCTCCCCCCACCATCACCCCAAAAGTTGCTTGGAACACCTTGGTTCAGTTTTATGAGTGCTCTGAAACAGAACAACTCATATTGATTAAGCCCTAATTTTCGCAGACACTGGTAAAAGGCTTTGGCATATACTAATAATTTTCTTAAATCCTAATGAATGATTCTACCTCTAGGTACTATTTTAAATTTCACCTTTATGGATGGGGAAACCAATCTACAAAGAGATTAATAAATTATTTATTTTTAAGTAGGCTTCATGCCCAATGTGGGGCTTGAACTCATGACCCTGAGATTAACAGTCTCATGCTCTGCCAGCTGAGCCAGCCAGGTGCCCCAAGAAATTACGAAATTATATAAAGTTACAGGCAGTAAATGGAAGAACCAGGAATCGAACTCTGGATGTTTTGGCTCCACATTCTTTGTTGTTACCACCACAGGATAATGGATAGGAGCACAGAAAAGTCTGTATGTTTTTCACACAATGCTGAGATAGAAATTTCCTGGAGACTTGGAGGGAGCAATGACGTGATGATCAACAAATTGCTGTGGATCTTTCTTGACACTGTGAGAAATATAGTTAGGCTGTGAGAATGGGGAGTGCTCAGGGATACTTCAGTGGAGAAAGGAGCTCAAAATTCCTAAGAGCAGTTCCCTAGGGGCAGTGCCTCTGTGTTCTGTATGACAAGAATGCTAGGATGTACCTAAAACTGTCTTTGGAGTGCAATACAGCTATTACAGATACGCAGTTGAGAGGAGTTTTGCTATCAGGCAAACTGGTGATACCCTCATGAAAAAGAACAAGGCAAGGATGTCTACTTGCATTAAAGACCCACTCTAGACCCCATGGAAGTAGGCTGAGGGAATGTTCTCAGGATCAAGAGTCCTTGCAAGAAGTAATTCTTGTTCTAACCTGGCTCACACATGAATGATCAACAGGGCTGCCAGGTTCCTTTCCATTGGCTATTGACTGTCCTCATTTACCTCCAAGACTTCTAGTTACTATGGCTGCTATCAATCATCCCCAAACTCATTGGCTTAAAACAACTAATCATGAATTATCTCTTACATTGTCTTTGGGTTAGGAATTCTGGAGCAGCTCAGACGTTGTAGTATGGAGTTTCTAATGAGGTTGCATTCTGACCATGGCCAGGATTGAGGTCATTTCACTTCTTCACTCAGGTCTGGTGTTGGGGTTGGGAAGAACAACAACGGGACGTGAGGCAGGGGCCTGTTAGGAGCAATTGTTACACGCTCAGGACTTTGGTGAGCCAGCTTTTAAACTTTTGGTCGCTTGAACTAGATCATAGTGGGAGCATTCACACCGTGGAAATCAATAAATACTATACAACGGGGCTTTTTCAGAATGCTGTTTTACCTGCTCACCACTGTGAACACTGGGGGCTCCTTGGCATCTCTTTCTCTCTTGATGTGGTGGCTTCAGGGTCGCTGGACCTCTTTTCCATCAACTCTGGGCTCCCAAGGTGCAAGTCCTGAGAGAGGGAGGCAGGCGCAAGGGTGCAGCTTGTTATGACCCAGCCTTGGAAGTCTTGCAGCGCTGATTCCACTGTAGTGCCAGGACCTCCCAGATTCAGGAAGAGGGAACATAGACCCCATCTCGTGATGGAGGAGTGTTAATAGCACAGTGTAAGAACAGTGTGTAGATGGGAGGCCTTTGTGTAGTTATCCTTGGAAAAGACAACTCTCACAAAGACTTTTCTTTCTTCCTCTTTCTCTTCTCTCTCTCTCTCTTTCTTTCCACGTACATGAGTGGGGGGGAAGGGCAGAGGGAGAGAATCTTTTTTTTTTTTTTAAAGATTTTATTTATTTATTTGACAGAGAGAGAGACCGCTAGAGAGGGAACACAAGCAGTGGGAGTGGGAGAGGGAGAAGCAGGCTTCCCGCTGAGCAGGGAGCCCGATGTGGGGCTCGACCCCAGCACCCTGGGATCATGATCCAAGCCGAAGGCAGACGCCCAACGACTGAGCCACCCAGGCGCCCCAGAGAAAGAGAATCTTAAGCAGGCTCCCCATGGAGCTTAGGGTCCGATGCAGGGCTCGATTTCACAACATTGAAATCATGACCTGAGCTGAAATCAAGAGTTGGATGTTTCACCACCTGAGCCACCTAGGTGTCCCAAGATTTTTCTTTTTTAAAAAACTTTTTATGATCATAAAACTAATGTTCATTGTAATAAATTATATAAGAAAAAAGTAAAAAATCACCTGATATTCCTTCCACCTTCGGATAAGCAGAATTGTTGTTTTGGTAACAGTCCATTTATCAGTTTCTTAAATCTTTTTATTTTTTTAGAGAGAGCAGGCGTGCACACATGTGCAGGGGTGGAGAGCAGAGGGAGAGAGAAACTTAAGCAGACTCTGTGCTGGACACAGAGCCTGAGGCCAGGCTTGATCCCAGGACCCTGGGATCATGACCTGAACGGTAGTCAAGAGTCAAAAGCTTAAATGACTGAGCTACCCAGGTGCCCAACAGTCCATTTATAAATCTCTGTATGCATACCTACATATATAATTTTGAAGGAATGGGTTTATATCATATACATCATTTTAGTTTTAAAGTGTTCTCTTTGTTTTACCTTTCTCCTTTTCTCACTTATTTGTATCTTGTTTATCACACTTATAAAAAGTTTCTAATATATCATCTCCAGGTCAAATGATAACACTTCTACTTTCCTGAAGCTCCTGTAACAAATTATCACAAATATCACAAACAACACAAATTTATTCACAGATACAGAGGTCAGAAGTTTGAAATCAGTATCACTGGGCTGAAACTAAGGTGTTAGCCGGGCTGCACTCCTTCTAAAGGCTCTCGGGGAGAATCTGTTCCCTGCGTCTTCCAGCTTCTGGTCTCTGGTTGCATTCATTGACTTGTGACTGCATCACCTCAGTCTCTGCCTTCATGGTCACATGGCTGCCTCCTTGTCTATAAATCTCCCTCTGCCTCTCTCTTATAAGGATACACGTGATTGCATTTAGGGCCCATCTGGATAATCCCGGATAATCTCCCCATCTCAAGATCCTTAACTATACCTGTAGAGACTTTTTCCCCCACATAAAGTAAGATGTATAGTTTCTGGCTATTAGGACCTGATATCTGTGGGTAGCTATCACTCATCTTAAAGCTCTAAGTTATTCTAAAAAGAATATTTAATAATATTCCACACAAATCACAGTTAATTCATCTATTCCCCAGCTAAAGGCCATCTATTGTCGAAAAATTCAAAAAAACTTTTTAAATTATAACAACAAATGCTCATAGAAATTTACCCTTCACTTCTATACCCCTTTCAAAGATACAGCTACTTACGTATCCATTTATAATTTCCATGTATATACAAGTATGTATGTATATTTTTTATGCAAAGCTGTGCATGTGTATGATAGTTTTATAATTTATTTTTACTAAATAATCTTGGAAATCTTTTCATATCTACACGTATAAATCATACAGATCTACCAGAACCTATTAATTAGTTTCCTATTAATGACTATTTAGGTGGTTTTTGTTTTTTTCCAATTCTAAACTTTGATGTAATGGATACTGTTACCCTTATAAATTTCTAGTATGGTGTTTTATGACTGACAAAGTGAACTAAATATTGAAGGTCCCTGCCTTTTATGAGCTTCTAGGTATAAAATATTGACATAAACAGAAAGTTTATGGAAAATAACTGAAGGAACACAAAAGCATCTGTGTTTTGTTTTTTCCTCTTTCATCCTCAGGAGTGAGTCCTGTGCTGGGCGTATTGAGAGACTGCTCATGGTGTGGGCCTCCTCCAGTCATTTTGACGTGCCCTTAGGAAATTGTACTGAAGGTGGAATCACGGTATTCCAGAGGCTAGGAAGGAAAATTTCTCCCAAAAGACCAATGTAAATATACAGATTAGTATACCCTTCTCTTATAGGATATATGCATCTTTGTGTTTATTCCCAATGGAATATTAAAATGATTTTTAAATTCGTATGTATTCTAAACTTCAGGCAAAATAAAAAAGCAAAGTCATGAATTAAGTAAATGGTAGACCATTATGAGTGTCATAGTCTCAAAAGCAAACGTGTATGTGGAAACTATTCCATGGGTTGAATATAAAGATCGGTAAAAGCAAAAGGATAGTGATTTTTTTTTTTTTAATTTTTATTTTTTGGTGGTATGGGTCAGCTACTCTTGACTCATTTGTATCGTATATCTTCTATGGCTTATGACTTCTTATTTTATTTTATTTATTTTTATTATGTTAATCACCATACATTACATCATTAGTTTTTGATGTAGTGTTCCATGATTCATTGTTTGCATATAACACCCAGTGCTCCATTCAATACGTGCCCTCTTTAATACCCATCACCAGGCTAACCCATCCCTTAACCCACCTCCCCTCTAGAACCCTCAGTTTGTTTCTCAGAGTCCGTAGTCTCTCATGGTTTGTCTCCCCCTCCAGTCTCTCCCATTATGACTTCTTTTTAAATAACTTAGAGAAAACATGGGAAAAGTAATGGATTCTAAGCCATAAGTCTTTGAGATTAGTTTGGTTGCTTGATTTTTTTTTTAATTTTTAAAGGATTTAAATGAATACAAATGTTCCAAAGACATGCTATCGTCTACACCTCTAAAACCAAAAACCTTTGCCAGAAAAATAGCTGTTGAAATATGCAAAAAGCATGTGAATATGCAAATATAAGACAACAAGCCTAAATAATTATTTTTGAAATTATTTTTAAGTTATTTTTCTGCATTGGTCCTCTCTCAGTGTTTTTGGAATCTTGACATGTCTATTCTTTAGTCTGGCTTTTGTGTTTGGAATGTTCATCTTGATCTCAGACTTACATCTCCACGTAGAGTTTGGTTAGACATTTTTCCCTAGCTGCTGCTTCAGACTTGAACTGTTTGTGAACACGTCGGGGCCATTTCCTGGTGGAGTGAGGTCTTGGGACCTGTGGGTTGGCCAGGAACCAGGTCCAAAGGATGCTATTTCCTCCTCCTCACTCAAGTTAGAGTGGTTTTTATGTTCGTGTTTTGGCTGCTTGCCTCTAGCTTTGTCCAAGGAGCTTAGATTTCTATTTTTGTTCAATATGTGACCTACATTCTCTAGAGAGTTAAGATCCTCTTTGTTTTTGAAGAATGGTTACAACATCCTTTGGAAAGCACTCCTTCCCTGCCCCATCACCTTCGATATTTGAAGTGTTTCCCATGTTCAGTGTGTGACTCTGGCTAAAGTTAGTAGCAACACAACTGTACATCTGTGATATCTCTGCTCTACTTCCTCTCTCTTCTCTATGTGGGTGGCCACTGGAAACTGTGCTTAGCCATTT